ATATGTATAATCACACGAGACAGATTTCGTCGTGAGAGAATAACGCTCGTCCCTGATTAATAAATTATAAATTAAGTATCTGAATTCTTACTTTTGTGCTATAATCCTTTGATTACTATCCAATAAATGCCATCTCAGAACAGTAGAATTACTCTTCCCCTATAGTACTCCACTTTGATAACTTATGGTACCGACGCAGAGATGACTGGCAGATGCCGTGATCCCCTACTTGATCCTAATGCCTCAGTGTATCTTTTCATTTATTTCAACCAACAAAACCATTCCAAATACGAAAATAAATTCGAACGGAAATCTTTTTCCGTAAGCTTCAAAATATAGCAAACTGGTGACGTAGTAACGCATCACTCATGCGTAGCAAACCGGCCGTGAGCAAACTATAGTCAGTAAATTAGGATCTAGTGCTGCCTTGTCTTTAGAATGCCGTTGCTGTGGTTACCTTGCTTGGCAGTGGTCGAAGTTGTATTTTTGTATGTAACGTTTTTTTAATGATACAATGTTTGACTTCCCACCCCCCCTGATTACTTTAAGACTTAATTAACTTGGGTGTCGCTGCTTGATAATCAGTATTGGTTGTTCGCGCCCCCTTCCACCCTGAAATACCATTTTTACGTTTTTTTTATTGTTTGTACAAAGTGTATTTACATGATGATGAAAAAATAAAATACTGCTATCCGATAATAGGTATTCAATGTTAGCGTAATATTTTATTTACTCAATTCTATAGCAATGTTAATATGAAAATTCTATTTTTATTTGTCAATGCGTATTGAAGATTGTAAAATAAACTTAAACTATTAAAGAAAAGTAATAAAATATAAATCAATTAGGGGAAAATGTGGGGAAGGTTGGGACACTTTTTTTCTTTTTCATATTTTGAGCCCTTTATTCTGCACATTCATATGACTTTGCGGGAATAATGCAGAGAGGGGTAAATGTAGTTTTTATTCAGCGACTAAGAAATTCCCTTGCGACACACATCTTACCACCAAAATGCTTTGAAAAACGTTTGTCAAGTGTCGCACTGTACCCCACTTGTGGGGCACATTCCGCAGGATTAATAATATGCCGAACCAAACTTGTCTGGTTGCTAGTCCATTTCGGATATGGGATTAGCTAATGTTCTGCAATCTCTACTTGCCAAACTAGATCGACATAGCCAATGAATCCGGCCGAACCCCCGTAAACGTGTGTGTTCATAGGCTTGAGGTTCTAAAAAGCATTTCAAATTACGAAAAATTGTAATGTATGATGCAGAAAAACGCTTTTTTCAACTTTCAAAAAGGGGGGTTACAAAACGCAACAACCCCCCACCCCCAGGGGGTAAGCATGGGTACTCCCGTAGCATGTGTACCATGTTGGGGTTTGGGTATAATTTTATTCCAATTTTCCTTATTTTAGTTCCATTACGATTTCGGGGACTGTCTGTGTTAGCCAATATACCCCCTGTCCATAAGTTTCAGTTCATTTATATAACTTGATGTAAAGTTGGCGAACAAACTTAGTTACCTCCATATTGTTACACATACTTCTGGAGCACCGACGAGAGTATATTAGCGTAATAATTGAAACAGTATTTAAAAGGAACTGAAAATGAGCTCAAGCATACCTTTCTATTCTCATTAGTTGGGCTTTACCATCAATGGTCCGGTTTTTAAAGATCGAAAAAGTAATCAAAAAAGCGCCGATGCGATGGTGGTAGGCACCAATAATAATAAATAAAATGGTGCAATAACGCCGTCTCTGCGTTCGGAATATTCAAACTGGGATTACAGTATTTGTTATCTGCTGCAAACGCTTTTGCGGACTCTTTGCGAGAAAGCACAAGTATAATCACACGAGACAGATTTCGTCGTGAGAGAATAACGCTCGTCCCTGATTTAATGAATTATAAATCTGAAATACAAAAATTGACGAACGACGCCGAAGAGGCGGAAACCGACTCCATATCGACCATCCTTACCCGTGAGTATCTGACTTCTTACATTTGTGCTATAAACCTGTTATAAACCTTTAATTACTATCCAATAAATGCCATCTCAGAACAGTAGAATTACTCTTCTCCTATAGTACTCCACTTTGATAACTTATGGTATCGACGCAGAGATGACTGGCAGATGCCACGATCCCCTACTTTATCCTAATGCCTCAGTTTATCTTTTCATTCATTTCAACCAACAAAACCATTCCAAATACGCAAATAAATTCAAACGGAAATCCTTTTCCGTAAGCTTCAAAATATAGCAAACTGGTGACGTATTAACGCATCACTCATGCGTAGCAAACCGGCCGTGAGCAAACTATATTCAGTAAATTAGGATCTAGTGCTGCCTTGTCTTTAGAATGCCGTTGCTGTGGTTACCTTGCTTGGCAGTGCTCGAAGTTGTATTTTTGTATGTAACGTTTTTTTAATGATACAATGTTTGACTTTTTTCTTTCTCCTGATTACTGTTAGACTTAATCACGGGTGTCGCTGCTTGATAACCAGTATTGGTTGTTCGCCCCCCTTCCACCCTGAAATACCATTTTACGTTTTTTTTATTGTTTGTACAAAGTGTATTTACATGATGATGAAAAAATAAAATACTGCTAACTGATAATAGGTTTTCAAAGTTAGCGTAATATTTTATTTACGCAATTCTATAGCAATGTTAATATGAAAATCCTGTTTTTATTTGTCAATGCGTATTGAAGATTGTAAAATGAGCCTAAACTATTAAAGAAAGGTAAGAAAATATAAATCAATTACGTCCGAAGATTTCATAGCAAAATATTTGAGTATTCTACAGTTATACTTGCAGCTCGTGTTAATCTTAAATTTTCAAATGAATCTATTTTGCTTTAAATCTGGGTGGGCAATTACTTTTTAGAGTTGGATAGTTACACTTAATACACTTGGTTACTGGGGCGGAAGCTCAAAGCTTAATATAAAAAATTATGAATAAAAGACAGTTTATTTACAAAAGCTAGTTCAACAGCTAGACTGACGTTTATATCAGTGGTTCTCAAACTTTTACAGCCGCACCCCCTTTTTTAGAAATTGTCAAGTTTTGCGCCCCACCTCAAAAATAACTAGCTAACAATAAGAATGGAACGTAAATAATGAAATAAATGTAATAACAATTACGTAACAATGGAGTCCTAGGATTGGAGATCGTAAACATGCTAACGATTGTATGGAAGGTTCTAGAGTCAGAGGTGGGCAGGGTTTTGGGCCACGGGCTAAATATTTTAACCACCTAGACTGGCGGGCCATGTAAGTGTGACGTAAAGGTTACATTTTGTGAATGATATTTACAGAGTTACAAAAGCAAACGTGGCAAACAGTAAGCCTCGTGCCGACACTAAATTTATCCGCAATTTCAACAAATTCCTTGAGCTATTTTCAACTAAAACATCAAAACTTGGTTATAGTTTGGTTGTGGCAGCATCAGGCGGGCCAAATTGAATTACCCAACGGGCCGGATTAGGTCCGCGGGCCATAGTCTGTCCATGTCAGTTCTAGATACTCTGAACTAGCAGCATGAAGTTGAACTCTTAAACATGCTCCACGATAAAGATACAAGAAAAACAGACTCTCTGCAATCTCTAAACAATAAAGAAATTTGAATAACCAAAATAAGGCGGACAAGATCAAATCTAACAAATATTTTTGACTATGATTAACTTTATGCCCCCTCAAAGTTGTCTACGCCCCCTTGTGGTGCATATAATCACTGGTACATATAATAAGAAGAAGCTCAATGTAACAATCGGGGTCATTATGACGTTATTTTCATCGATATTTTAAACGGAAATTTATGTTTAAAACTGTAGCAGACACTAGTGGATCGGATGAAATACATCGGTTGACCGGATTCGGCCCGCAGGCAATAATTTGCCCACCTCTGCGTTAGACGATTTAAGGTTAAGTATTGATAGGCTTGGCAAAAATATCGATAAATTCAGATGATTAAAATACGAGACACGGCATATTATAATTTTTGAATTTCAAATTTAAAGAAAAGAAAAATTAGATTAATGGAACTATCTTTGGTGAAATATGAATCAAATTTTTAGTGAATTCCAACTTTTATTTCAATTTCTTGAATTAATTTTGTCAGAAATGAATATTTGAATAAACGAACAAAGCCAACTAAAAGCAATTCAATAATATAGGGTGTCCATGAAGTCTTAAAAAAATTTTAAAATTGCAAAAGAAATTTATCGATGACATGTATAGTTTTGACATATGTATTAAATGAAGTAAGAATAGTTATACATTTACTTTTTTAAAATAAAAATGAAAACATAAACAGGTTAAGATACATTTGAGAACTGACTTCATAACAAATTGAAATTGTAAATGGACTCGATGGACACCCTGTACTTATCACATATTATGAACAAAAAGGTAAAAGTAATGAATTTGTTGAGCACATCTAAGAAATAGAATAATATGTAATCAATCTATAAATTCAGCGGGGATTATTGTCTGCAGTAGATTTATAAATGAACATGGTTGCTAAATCAAAGATTTTTCTTTTTCAGATCGGTGATGTGGCGCATCGTGCTAAGCGTTAAGAATAAGCTCGCCACTGCATCTCTGATTACCCTGTGTGGGTACGCACTCGCATGTTAGAATAATGTGGGATAGTTATGTACATAAAATAAAATGTAGAAATAAATGTATCTGAACATTCAGATAGGGGCTCATATGCCGGTGAAGATGATCAATCAAATACATAACACATTTTATTAAGTTACAAATAGTTTTATCACTAATAACAAAGTATCTACCTGCTCCCTATATTTGGAACCCCTGAGCCCCCCCCCCCCCCCCCCCCCCCTCTATGCGCTAAAATAAAAAGATGGTGAAATACGTAATATTCACACGAAAATCTTTTTTTCTTGATTTTTCTATTTGACAGTTTGCTATAACAGTTAGATGGAAGTTTAAACTTCGCACAGGACGTATCGTTACGATTGGGGGTAGTGTAAATGTATTGATATAGGCTTGTTGAATCTTCCTGAATCCTGATAACCATGTTTGTCCAATCAGAATAACTCTGTCCATTGAATGGAGAGTCTATGAACCATTTGAAGCCACTGTGTGATGTCACGGTTCCGTTTCGGAAACGAAGAATCTGATTCTAAAACAAAGAAGTGAAACTATATTAAGTGTTTAAATATTGGAACAATTTGATTACCGATTACCGGTACCGATACTCAGATTCTCCTTTTTGTAACGTATTTGGATATTGGACATTACTATTTTTAATTATATATATTGTTCGACTTCTTCCTATTCAATCTGTATCAAAGTTAGATTTTTAACACGAGTGTCTCTGCTCGATAAATCAACATTTATTTTATTTGCGCACCCTTCACCGTAAATGTCATTTTCATTGTTTTCTTTCCTAGTTTTTATTCGCATCAAGTGTACCTCAATCAGTACTAAATAAATGAAACAAACATTCGACCTGGAAAGTTAACAGTTCAGTGACTTTTACGCAGAGTCTTATCTGGAGCGAAAGTGCAAAGTACACAAATAAGGACAAATTTTATAATATTATGACATAACAACTTACTTTTAAATTTAAAACAATGAATTTAAACAATATGTGCAGTTAGGAGGAATACTGATAAAGCTTTTATATCCAACTTACAATAGGGTCGTATGTCATGCCGAGATGAAACCATTTATCTGATTTCCCGTCCATCCTGTTGTCACGAAAGAATGTCATTATCTTGTCCATATGTTTTTGATTGTAAATATTCGCAAGTTCAAAACCGAGCTGTTGACATTTGGCGATCGCTGATGCTATGTAAACCTTTTCAGAGACCAACGGTATGAATATTCTTCCGTCTAGCGCACAATATCTGTAATTCAAATAAATATCAATTGTTAAATCATAATAATTGATCAAAGTGTGTCATCATACATCTGCATATTTGAACGTTTATGCCTTTTATTTTTTGTTCTATTTTCTTCAGGCTCGGTGGCGTGGCGCATCGTGCTAAGCGTTAGGAATACGCTCGCCACTGCACCTCTGATTACCCTGCGTGGGTTTGCATGTTAGAATCCCATAAAGGGATGATTATATGCGAGAGGATTGCTGGACTCCTCGCTGCCGCAGGGTGGTTCACAGGGTTACGGATTTCTCCACCATCAAGTCCATGCTTCCAAACACAAATACCTGGCTAACTAATCACATACCCGACCTGAATTGGTAACCGGACGAGAGGCCGTGGTTCACCATATGATTGAGTGTCTCATCCACTTTCCTCTCCCCTGGGATAAATATGTGAATCCTAAACCCTACCTAGGTTAGCATTTGGGAGACAATGCCAAACCGTAAAGACTGACCTCCAGAAAATAGTAGTTCTTTACAAACCAATAGAAGCTTGCAAAGAGCCTTTTCGGGGTGTTCGAGGTGTGAATATAAAATCGCAGTATTAAAAAATCAAAACTGCACACTCACATTCGTATAATGCAACGGTTCTCAAATTGTGGCCCGCGGGCCAATTACGGCCCACGTGACGATTTATTACGACCAGCCGAACTTGAGTGAAATATTTTAACACTGTGTTTTTATCTTTTTGCATTCTGAATACACCAATTGTTACGTCATTATCGCAGTTTGAGCATGTTTGTATTCGTAACAATTAAATTATAGAGGAATCTTAATCATACGTATCAATATCGGCCACTTGATGGCGCTCCCCTATCCCGGCTCGCGAATGTCCTTCCGAAACCACTGGTGTTCTGTGAGAGGTTAGGACTTACATATTTTATCCCGGGGCAGATGGGAAGGCTCAATCATATTATGAACCTTGTGATCATGTCCGGTTACCAGTCAATGTCGATTATGGGATTAGTTAGCCAGTTATTTGTTATCAAAAGCATGGACTTGATGGTGGAGTATGCCGTACCCAACCAGCAATTACGTGAACCATCGCACATAACTATCCCCGGCATGAGATTCAATTCTGCAAACACACAGTTTTCTTCGGCTCCTAATTTTGGCCCTGGTCAATAAAGTTTGGGAACCACTGCATTATACTGCAATGCAACAAACCTTGTTCAGTGAATCCAGGAGGCAGAGAAATTGTCGGTGGAACGAAAGGAACCGTTGTCGCATCTGCAAAAGTGTTTGTGCTTTCTTGTCCGTCTTTTGGGTCTTTCTTGCCCGGAATGGTTTGTACTTCAGCACTAAAAATAAATATATTAGTCGTTATTTATTTTCATAAAGTTGTTCCGCACAAAGCGCTGTTTCGCTCATAAGTAGAAGATTTAGAGCAGGTATCGTTCACTATTTCTTATTATGGACGTTTCCTTGACCCTTGACCTCTGAAATATTATCCCCATTCCATTGAAAAATTTTAAACGCTTATTTTTAAAGTGTTTAGGAGAGTTAGCGCTGTCAAACTGCTTCACATGTTCAAAATTAACATTCTTATTTTAAACATTGAACCACGTGCCGCTTACAGGTACTGTTGGCTTATTTTAGGCAGCCATTGAGACTGAACAATATAGTCTTCACAACTAGAGGCCTAAATTGTTATCAATGAGTCGCTGCCACATCTGATAATTACAAGTTTTTTTGTAAAATTACCAAAATATTACTTTGCAAAATTTGCTACATACCGATTTTCGCCAGATACATCTTCTACATTCTCTAATTGTAAACCATTTCCCTCTTGTCTCATTTCATTTCTGATTATGGAAAGCGAGAGAAATAGAATCAAAGAGACTATTGGTGATATCATAGTTAATAATTATTTAAAACGAGAGAATCTGTAAAAACAAAGATTTGTGTCGTTATAATGTTTAATAATTCAACAAAGTATATAAACCTCTGCATTCCCAAGTTAGTATTATTATGCCAGATTAGTATTATTAATATTATGCAAGTATAATATCAAAGTTATTTTAATAAATTATTATTATTTTTATTAAATCATCTAGGCCAGAGCTTCCCAAACTTTTAAGCTCGCGACTACTGTTGTTATGCAAGCGCATCGCTTCTATTCTGCCCTATGTATTCTCTCGAAATCGTGAGATTTATGTTTTGCACTAGTTTTTATAATTGTGTTTCGAAATGAATGCCTAAAAATTCGTTGCGTGCCTCCCTATGGGGTCGCGACCCTCAGCTTGGAAATCCCTGATCAAGGCCACTACTATAATTGTCGTGAGTTGGATAAGTCAGGGCTACTCAACTATTTTTACCGAAGATCCGCATACAAAACTTCAAAATTATTTGGGTCCGGTATTCCCATAATATATATTTCGGCATCCACGCACACTTCCTCGACCGGCTAATGATTATTAGCTGATCAAAATTGCTTATTGTGGTGTTATAGTTCTTTTCATATATATTCAAAACTATGAAAGTCATTTTATAAAAAGAAACTTCAAAAGTGGGGTTAATGATCTAAAATAAAGAATTAGGTGTGGTCCGAATCAAATACCCGAAAGGTCCAGATTCGGACCGCGGTCCACCAGTTGAGTAGGATTAATAATGAAATAGGAAAGTTTGTCCAACGATGAATTGAAAAGTCAATGGAAAGTACTTTTAAAACAAATAAAACAATTTTAGATTTTCAACAATTCTATTCACGTGGTAGCTGATATTAAAATGAGTTTTCTCGGTATTCATAGATTCTTGAATAATTATTTTACAACCAATGTGCTGAATATGTAAAAGTCATATAGAAAAGTGTTTTTTTCAAGCGACCGAAATTTAAAAAACTTGATTTTGTGAAATTTTGCGACCCAAGGATGGCGCACAACCTGAATATAATATGCGTACCAGATTAAGGTTCAGGTTGTGTGTCATCTTGGTGCACATACTTCGGGAGCGCCCTCAGATACTATCTGATATGTGGTACTTTAGGAGCAAAATTAAATGAATAATATAAAACAATCAGTTTATTTCCCAAGAAATTATTTTGAAGTGAGAAAACTGCTTTTTTTGCCATCAGCGAGTATTTGAAATCGACGCGTGGCTTTACTTGAGCAAAATAAATGCCGCTAAGTTTTTACGCAGTGATACACATGCAATTACTATTGAGCAACACTTCAATACCGAATATTAAATAAACAATAAGATCTACTATAAAATAAAATTAGTAGTTTTTGTTGAAAAAAGCAAACAAGCCAAGAAAATTTTCTGGCGACCCAGTTTTGGGTTGCGACCCATAGGCAGGTAGCATATAATATTCAAGAAAGGGGGCTCCCGAAGTATGCGAACCAAGATGGCGGACATCGGAATGTAATATGTGTACTAGGTTAGGGTTAGGCCATAATTTTAGGTATAAATACTACGGGAGGCTCTTGGCTAGTCTTCGAACTGATAATAGGACTAAAATAAGGAAAATTGGAATAAAATTATCGCCTAACCCTAACCTGTTACCCATGTTACGTTCCGATGTCCGCCATCTTGGTTCGCATACTTCGGGAGCACCCAAGAAAGTATTGGCCTCTTGCGGGCACTCCCCACTCCCGGCCAGCGAATATCTTTCCACTTCTAACTGGTCCCCGGATATTCAACTTTAGTAACCATTGATAAATTGCAATACATTAGCGCTGAGTTCCCTTTTTCACGACAACTTCGACTGCAGTCTACCAGCTAACAAATACATTGTGAATCAAAACGCAATTAAACAATTCAGTTTTGAGTTTCATATATGAGCTTAAAAGCAGCTAGCCAAGTATCCATGTTTTATCTAAACAACAATGTTATATGACTGCTCGAACTTCAGTATCTATTATCCAATTCTCCAAGTTCTATTTTCCCTTGCCTGGAATTAGAAAACATTGGATATTCTGATGCCACTGCTACCGCTGCGAATAAATTTATCACACTACTGTACTGAGCGAGAAAAAAACTTCCCAGTACCGCCTCGATCGCCGAACGTGTACGTATTTCCGAAGTACGCGGAAGTTATTAAAAGGTCGTTCGTCGGTCAGGCACCCTTTGCGTTTGTTACGTAATAATATACTCTATCGGTCTTGCCCAGACTCAAATACTGTGTGTGTATCGTATTTTGCGCCTGTACAGTACTGTATTTTTTCTGCAGTACTAAACGTTACAGGCGCTGCATGAAACTGGTTCAAGGCATTTTTTTGGTGTATTATATTAAATTCAATTAATATCAAACGCGATCGGCTACTCGAGCCTTTGCGATCGACCGGTCTGTAGCCCTGGGCTACACGAAAGATAATAGTCATAATGAACTAAATTTGAGTTGCAAATTCCTATAATTTTCCTCGGCCTATGATAGCACAATAGCTTTTGATTTTGTTTAGCAAAACGCGCGGTGATGTCTCGAAAATTTTAGTCTATAATTTTTCCACCGGGTTAAGTTTGCGAGAGGATTGCTGAGTTCCTCGCCGCCCAAATGTGGCTTACGTAACCTATTTTGAAATCCCCTCTTTGAAAATTCTGGCTGCGCGCCAGATAACAAGTATATATGAGATTTCGATCTCTATGCCCGTGCTCGCTCACAAAGTATAGACTGGTAGCTGTGAAATGGTTTGGCCTGCGATATGTTAACTGGTTTCATCGGTTCCATTACATTTGAACCCACGTACATTTGAACCCATGACAATTGCACCTGCATACTATCGCACTTATATGAATTTTTTTGTTTGTTTTACGGATATTTGAACCCATACTCACCCTAACCCATGGGTTTTAGCACCCGCATATAGATTGAACCCGTGGATATACGCATGGGTTCGAATGTACGTGGGTTCAAATGTACGGTCACCGGTTTCATCGCATTTTCTCGGAACACTGAATGCTGTTGCGCAAGCTTCTTCGGAGTGTTCCGCGAAATTGCGACTAAATTGGTCGCCATGGCAATCTCGGTCGTACTTCGGCGACTCTGGGTCGTAAATTTGTCTCCCAACTGGCGACAAACAGGCGGACAGGCCTTGTGCCAGACTGAAAAGCATGGAGTTTTCGTAAACAGTCAATAGCAAACTTTTTTTGCCTTAGGATAAATTTTATAAAAACCAGCCAACGATATTACCTTCTAATTTCCGGGAAAAGTTTGAGAAACATTGCTCTATTATGGTGGCCCATCGTTGTCACGCGTAAAATTTAAAAAAAAAATGAAAAAATAAAACGAAAAAGCGAAAATAAAAAAAATAGTTGTGAAAAAACATAAAAATAATTAAAAATAAAGAAGTGAAAAAAAAAATTTAAAATAAAAACAAAAAAAACGAAAAAAAAAGAAAATTAAAAAAAAAAAAATTTGGATAAAAAGAAAATAAAAAGGTTGACAACGATGGTCCCGCCTCGTGGCCCATCGTTGTCACGCGTTTTTATTTTTAGAAAATTTGATGCTGCTTGGGACCAACGTTGTCAGGCTTAATCCTACACGCACAAATGTGTTTCCTGAGTTTCTAACTCACTACTGACTTTTATTAGCAATATCCAATAAATTCAACATGTAAATGTTCTATAAATTCTCCATGCTACAAGTTCAACCACAATCAATATATTTATAATAATGATAAGAGAATATAGAATTGAATATGAAAATTTGTTTTTACGTGTAGAAGGTGATTTAATTGGAAAATTCTGCTTAACTGCTCAGTTGTCTGGACACTCGTGCGATGCCGGTACGGTACCGTCTGACCGTACCGGTACCCATGCAATCACTCATGAAAGAATGGGAGATACGGATAGTCTCGTAGAATATAGACTACTGAAACACTCTCTGCGCCTGCCCCATACCGTACAGCCGTAACGTACCGATCCAGACAAATGATGAATCGCCCGTGCTCAACCATTTATTTCAATCCATACCTCGACTCACTATATTCTACTAGGATCGAGGTATGGATTGAAATAAATGGTTGAGCACGGGCGATTTATCATTTGTCTGGATCGGTACTTTACGGCTGTACGATATGGGGCAGGCGCAGAGAGTGTTTCAGTAGTCTATATTCTACGAGACTATCCGTATCTCCCATTCTTTCATGAGTGATTGCATGGCTACCGGTACGGTCAGACGCAAAGCGACTATAACCGACTACCGGTATTTGGTAAGACGGTACCGGCATCGCGAGTGTCCAGACAACTGAGTAGTTAACCAGCATTCTCCAATTAAATTACCTTCTACACGTAAAAACAAATTTTCCGAATTTTCGTATTCAATTCTATATTCTCTTATCATTATTATAAATATATTACTTCTTGTTGAACTTGTAGCATGGAGAATTTATAGAACATTTTCATATTGAATATTGCTCGAGAAAATCAGTAGTGAGTTGGAAACCCAGGGAACACATTTGTGCGCGTAGGATTAAGCCTGACAACGTTGGTCCCAAGCAGAAGCAAATTTTCTAAAAATAAAAACGCGTGACAACGATGGGCCACGAGACGGACCATCGTTGTCAACCTTTTTATTTTCTTTTTCATTCAATTTTTTTTTTTTTTTTTACAATTTTTTTTTTAATTTTTTTTTTTCGTTATTTTTAATTTTTTTTTTAATTTAAATTTTTTTTTTCAATTATTTTTATGTTTTTTCATTTATTTTTTTTTATTTTCGGTTTTTTATTTTATTTTTTATTTTCAATTTTACGCGTGACAACGATGGGCCACCATACTCTATGCCTTCTATGGGATAAGAAAAAGACTTAAAATATAATTCAACCCATTAACCTTGAAATAAACGTAGTAGAGCTAAATTGAACTATTTAATTTAAGTATAAGGTTCAACGCTCAGTCGCGTGACTCGTCACATCACGGCAATTTTAGG